CCTGGCTGTGTGCTTCGAGTCGTTGTCATGTTGGAAGACCCATGCATTGACCCATCTTCAATGCTCTGACTGAGGGAAGGAGGTTGTTGCTCAAAATCTCACAATAAATGGCCCCATTCATTCTCTCCTTAATACAGTGCAGTCATCCTGTCCCCTTCGCAGAAAAGCACCCCCAAAGCATGATGTTACCACCCCCATGCTTCACAGTAGGGATGGTGTTTCTTGGGATGCAACTCATCCTTCTTTTTCCTCCAAACACGACGAGTGAAGTTTAGACCAAAAAGTTCTACTTTGGTCTCATCTGACCACATGACTTTCTCCCATGCCTCCTCTGGATCATCCAGATGGTCATTGGCAAACTTCAGATGGGCCTGGACATGTGATGACTTGAGCAGGGGAACCTTCCGTGCAATGCATGATTAGAAACCATGACGACGTAGTGTTCTATCGACAGTGACCTTTGAAACTGTGGTCCCAGCTCTCTTCATGTCATTGACCAGCTCCTCCCTTGTAGTTCTGGGCTGATTCCTCACCTTTCTTATCATCAGTGATACCCCACGAGGTGACATCTTGCATGGAGCCCCAGTCCGAGGGAGACTGACAGTCGTCTTTAGCCTCTTCCATTTTCTAACAATTGCTCCAACAGTTGATCTATTTTCACCAAGCTGCTTGGCAATTGCCCCGTAGCCCTTTCCAGCCTTGTGGAGGTCCACAATTTTGTCTCTGGTGTCTGATAGCTCTTTGGTCTTGCCCATGGTAGTAGTTGGCGTCTGACTGACTGTGGGGTGGACAGGTGTCTTTAAAGAGCTCAGACAGGTGCTACTGTTAGATTAATGAGTGGAGTAGAGGTGGACTTTTTAAAGGCACAGTAACAGGTCTTTGAGAGCCAGAATTCTTCCTGTTTCTCAGGTGTTCAAATACTTATGTTCAGCAGTGCGAGACAAATACATTCTTTACAACTCATACAATGGGATTTCCTGAATTTTTTTTATTCTGTCTCAATGCACCTACAATGTGAATTTCAGACCCCTCCATGATTTCTGAGTGGGAGAACTTGCAAAACCGCAGGTGTTCAAATACTTCTGTTCCTCACTGTATATGTAAAGCGTTTTGTAAATTGACGGCACTATATAAGTACTTGTAATAAAATAGATAAATAAATTATTGACCGTCTTGAGGCACCACATTCTAAAATGGGGTACCCCTAGACTGTCCATAATTTTAAAAGGATATGCCAGTCTAAAATGTGAAAAACTATTCTAATAGTTTTATATAATGCAGCGACATCCACACATGTAGGACACCCAACATTGGAGGTGATGTATTATTCCAAAGCAAATACACGTTTGCACACTGCTACAGAGTAGTATTCCAATGTTTCTCCTCTCCCTCGGTTTTTCTCCATTACTGAGATAATGTGACCCCAGTGCTGATGGAGAGGGGCAGGGGAGGGTCAAGCTAGGATGCTGTGCAGGCAGATGACATCCTTATCAATTGATGAAGTCATTGGTTGTCAGGATGCTGACCACTAGAAGGTCGTAATGGTGCACAATGAAAACCTGTGGCTTTGTGAAACTAGAAGGCAGGCTTGTTCCACCCGCTGGCTTGTTAACAAGTTTTGGGCAATTTTTAGACATTTTGCCAAGGCACCCCTGGAGAAACCTCAAGGCACCCCAGGTTGCCTGGGCACCCTGGTTGAGAAAGGCTGATCTAGAGTACCCTTTCTCCAACTCTTTAACACTGAAGAACCCTTGAAATAACTTTTCAGTCCCTGGTAACCCCTGCTAATAATTACTAGATCTACAGCTCATGGTGTATGAGTGTGAAGGCCAGCAGGATAAATCCCCCATATATTTGAGGTCAGTAGGAAAATCCCTCCCTTTACGGATAGCTAATGATATTATTGGTGTCAGTGGTCAGTTATTTGAGAGGCAGAAGTTGCTCATTGCTCAAGAAACCCAGGAGAAATGGCGATAGGTGCTCCGAGGTGCCATGTTGAACTTCCAGTGACCAGTATGAGAGAGTGAGAGCGATAACACCAAATGTAACCCACCTGCTCCCCATTCACACCTGAGACCTTGTAACACTAACGAGTCACATGACATCGGGGAGGGAAAATGGCTAATTGGGCCCAATTTGGACCTTGTCACTTAGGGGTGGACTCACTTTTGTTGCCAGCGGTTTAGACATTAATGGCGGTGTGTTGAGTTATTTTGAGGGGACAGCAAATTTACATGTTATACAAGCTGTACACTGACTACGTCACATTGTAGCAAAGTGTCATTTCTTCAGTGTTGTCACATGAAAAGAGAGAATCAAATATTTACACAAATGTGAGGGGTGGACTCTCTTCTGTGAGATACTATATACCCCCTTCCTGCCCAGGCCAATTTTCAACTTTCAGTGCTATCACATTTTGAATGACAATTGCGCGGTCATGCAACACTGTACTCATATGAGATTTTTATATTTTTTTCAGAGAAATAGAGATTTCTTTTGGTGGTATTTAATCACCGCTGGGGGTTTTATTTTTTTGCGCTATAAACAAAAACGAGCAAAAAATTTGAAAAATTTTTTTTTCTTTGTTTCCATTATAAAATTTTGCAAACAGGTAATTTTTCTCCTTCACTGATGTGTGTTGATGAGCATGCACTGATAGGCAGCACTGATGGGCACTGATAGGCAACACTGATAGGCAGCACTGATAGGTAGCACTGATGGGCACTGATGAGGTGGCACGGATAGGCAGCACTGATGGGCATTGATATGCGGCACTAATAAGCTGGCACTGATAGGCAGCACTGATGGGAGGCACTGATGGGCAGCACTAAATGTGGCACTTCTGAGCAACACTGATGGGCAGCACTGATGGGTGGCACTGCTGAGCACAGGTGGGTGGCACTAATGAGTGGCACTGCAGGGCACAGGTGGGCTGCACTGATGGGTACAGGTGGGCTGCACTGATGGGTACAGGTGGGCGGCACTGATGGGTACAGGTGGGCGGCACTGATGGGCACAGGTGGGCGGCACTGATGGGCACAGGTGGGCGGCACTGATGGGCACAGGTGGGCGGCACTGATGGGCACAGGTGGGCGGCACTGATGGGCACAGGTGGGCGGCACTGATTGGCACCGGTGGGTGGCACTGATGGGCACCGGTGAGTGGCACTGCTGGGCACTGATGATCAGTGCCCTGATGATCAGTGCCGATCCCTTCATTGACAATTGCCAGTTCTTGGCAGTACTTTTCCCGCACTGTGACAATGTGAGGAAAGTGCAGCTGATAACTGGCAACTGTATTTACCCGGTGATCTGCTGTGTCATTGGACACAGCTAATCACGTGGTAAAATGCCGCCTTGATTGGCCGTTTACCATATCATGTGATCAGCTGTGTCCATAGGACACAGAGATCACCGGCGGCGCCAGGTGCGTGACGCTGTGGGCGTGGAGGGGGTGCATTCTGGAATGATACCCATGGACGTTTGTCCCAGAACCAGGCTAAAGCACGGTTGGGAACTAGTTAAAGGGATGAGGTGACAACCCTACTTAAGTCTAAGTTCGCACCTATGCGTTTTTCGTTGCGTTTTGCAGAAATGCACAGTAGTCCAATTAACATGATTTCCTATGGGACACATTCACATCCCTGCGTTTGCACCCGGTGCGTTTTGTGGAAAGGGCTCGGACTTTTTTGAACGCAAAATGTTGCATTTTTGGTTCTATAGACTTCAATGGAGAGGCTGCAGAAAAGCACGTAGTGCGTTTTTGATACATTTTGTACGTGTTTTTGATGCTTTTTAATCTGCGCAGCAGCAAGTTGGAAAAAATAAACAAACGCAATACACACCAAAAATGCAAAACGCACCGCAAAAATCACTGCAGAAACGAATCAAACACAAAACTGCATAGGTGTGAACCGAGCCTTAACCCCTGCACCTGGCTGAAGCCAGGATTGTACACTGATTTGTGCATAGCTAAGTGTAGACACACACACAAAGGTTGCAAGCAGGACGGTGTAAAGCTTTTATTGCAGAAGAGACATTGTTTTTGGTTGGAGGCCGGGTTCACACTTGTGCGGTATATTGCATGTGATTCGCACAGGAACCGCACCACATTTCTGTGCAAATCACATGCGATTTGTGTGCGGTACATTTTGTATGGCTCTAATCGCACTGCACCAAAAAGATGCAGGACCCTTTTTTGGTCCGCACTAGAATCAGATTGCACGGGTATTCACACCTATGCGATCCGATTCTGCACATCGCACCGCGTTTTTTCGGACCGAATTCGGGGTGTTGTTAACATACACACTCGCATCAGTTCGCATGAACGGGGTGCGATTCTGATGTGGTGTGGAATTCGTACAGAAAGTGCTGCAAGTTACGCACCGCATCAGTGTGAACCCAGGCTGAATAAAAAGAAACAAAACAAAAAACCAGCAAAAAAAACACAAAAAACAGTAAAAACAAAAAAAAAGAAATTGCGCCAGTTTAAGCATTGTGCGCCCCATTGTGTACAAAACATTTTCATGATCCCTGAGCTGGTTATTTTTTAAGTGTTTAAAAAAGAGAGGATATTTCAACAGAAACACCTATTACAGTGAAAAGCCCCAGTATGAGGAAATGAGAACAGAAGGGGTGCCTTAGGGTTGATGTGAGATACAACTGAAAGCACTGTACAGTGACTGATCTCTGAACATGGCTGGGTTTTTAAGCACATTTTTTTTTACAGATTATGAAGAAATTGCCGTGTACTTGTCTGTGTTAAGGAGCAGTATGGCAGGGATTTTAAAATGATCTTTCAGCTGCTGCATTTGCCTTTAGACAAGATTTTCTTTTGGAATATCACACCAAAAATGACGTTTTTGTTGCAGGGGATGCCCAAAATCTAAAGAACAGTTAGGAGATACGTAGGACCCCCTCAAAAAAGAGGTTTTAAAAGAGAACCAACAGCTGTGTAAATAAGATGAACAGCTTTATTGAGATCACAAACCGGTAATAAGGCCAATAGGCCAGGAATCCTCCATTCACTTTAAAATAAGGTAAGATAACGTTATCGCCTTAACCCCTCACCTACCGGGCACTTCTACCCCCTTCCTGCCTACAGGACACTTCTACCCCCTTCCTGCCCGCCGGGCACTTCTACCCCCTTCCTGCCCGCCGGGCACTTCTACTACCCCCTTCCTGCCTGCCGGGCACTTCTACCCCTACTCCATACTCATCTCAACCAATGGCCACTACTCCGTACTCATCCCAACCAATGGCCACTACTCCGTACTCATCCCAACCAATGGTCACTACTCCGTACTCATCCCAACCAATGGTCACTACTCCGTACTCATCCCAACCAATGGTCACTACTCCGTACTCATCCCAACCAATGGTCACTACTCCGTACTCATCCCAACCAATGGTCACTACTCCGTACTCATCCCAACCAATGGTCACTACTCCGTACTCTTACTACTTGACCTCTCTGCAGCTTTATATACTGTTGACCATCCCCTCCTCCTCAAAAAACTCCACTCTCTTGGCCTCCGAGACTCTGCTCTCTTCTGGTTCAGCGTTACCTATAACTCTGGCTGCTCATCTCCACTCCCTCTTTCTGTTGGGGTCCCTCAAGGTTCTGTCCTTGAACCCCTTCTCTTCTCCATCTACACCTCCTCCCTTGGTCACTTGATAAACTTCCATGGCTTTAAGTACCATCTCTATGCTGATGACACACAAATCTATCTTTCTACCCCTCACCTCACCCCTTCAGTCTCCTTTCACATTGCTAACCTACTAAGTGACACATCGACATGGATGTCACTCATTTTGGCCTGATGTTTATACCTGCATCAAAAAAAATACTCACTATTTATCAAAAAACAAAAACGTTTTACAGCGCCAAACCTTATATCCAATTTCCAGCTTGTTGTATTTGTAAATTTCAAAAGCCACTATAAAGGAACAACAGTGGTAAAAGAAAAGTACTTGTCAGTTTAACTGATCATTTTTATGTATTATTTCTCCACGTATCAAGGCTGTGTCCTTTGCCTATATACTGTCTGCTAGTAGGTGTGCCCCTCTTTTCCATCTCAGAAGGTTGGGAGTTATCCCACTGAGCACATGTAATGATCAAATACACACAAAAGGAAAAAAAATGAAAAAAAAAACTGCACTAATGATCCAGTAAAAAAAAAATATCTTATTGTAATTGAATGGTCCTATGACTGATGAGTGTGCTGCCTGACTTACCTGGGGAAGAATCCAGCTGTTCATGTACATTTTATATGTGCTTCTGGTGAGTGCATACAAAGGAATACTTTTCATGGATTCACCAGCAACGGATGTCACCTGTTCACGGATTTATGTTCTGGACTTTTTATACCTATTGTTTATCGCAATTGTGTCATTTGATTTATGTTCACTATCAGTCACTATTCATTTTATATCATCCAATGCTGACCACTCAGTGCCATGGATACCATCACCACAGTTATCAGTATATTGATTATTGGTATATTTATAACTCATGAACTCTCACACTTTAGACTGGTAGCGCTGATCAGAGCGCCTCTCATTTCATTCATTCATTACTTTAGAGCTGCACCTTTTTATATTTCAAATAAAAACATATATAATATAGAACGCAGATAACAATCAAAAATACAGAAAAGTAAACAAAAACATAAATACAAAGAACGCTAAATAAAAAAAAGAAAGACAGCAGTACTGATAATGTAGTTAGAAGCTTGCAGGCGTAGTCCATGTGCTAGAGCAATGGTTAGTCCATACAGACAGCTTCAGCTCTGCGTTGTATAATGACAATGTGTCTTAGAGGAGCTGTCAGTACTATTGGTCTGGGTGAGAAGGAAAGGCGACCCTTACCCTCTTCTACTGCCTTGTAGTCAGGCTCTGTGGTGTGTGCGCCAATCCCCATCTTATTCTGTGTGTATACTCTCAGTCTTCTGTGAGAATGTTCTCGAAAGGAAGAAATACACGCTATACAAAGGGAATGATGGACACCTCCCCTAACTATGTTACATACAAACACACCCTCCATAGGGAGTGCATAGTCATGGTATTTTAGTTGCTTTCGGTTTTCGTGTTCCTTGTAGTTGAGGTATATTCCCTATTTGTGTATTTGATCATTATTTAAATTTGTTTTTCTTTCTGTGAAATAAATTCATGAGACATATTAACCTCCCTAGCGGTCTGATTATGTCCATATTTCTGTGCCCAAAACAGTACATTTTTTTTTGCATGGAAATATGTATTTTTTTTTTGTTGTAGGCCTGTAGTTTTTATAATATTTATTTTTATTTGTCAGGTGCATATATAGTTTTTAGGAATAACTCACTGAAATCTGTCCGAACAAGAGTCTAGTAAACATCCCGGGTATGTTAAAATTTGAAACAAAACAACGAAATCATAAATTATAATTTAATAATCATAAAAAATAATAATATAATAATAAATTTAATTCAATAATATAATCAAACCAAAAACACTGAAAATGAAAATAGAGCGCCAAGTTCGCACATCGCTGAGCAAAGTCGCAGAATCGTTTTCAGTGTCTGAGGAATTCCCCCACGAATCATTATCACATCAATTCTGTAAGTGGTTCTGATTTACTATCGCTGTTCTCTAGCTGGTCTAAAAACCGCTTTTGACCTAAAGGACGCTTTTTGGACGCCATTGGAACGTTTCTCAGTTTCCAGGCAGAAAGAACAGTAAAAATGCACGCAGGGCGCCGGACAAAGCACTCGGGACAAAATGTATGTGAAATTATTATTATTATACCAGTATTTTATAAAGCGCCAATAGTTTCGCTCACGCGTACCATTACAAAGGGGGACAGAACATGTACCAGAACAATACCAATACAATGCAAAACATGAGGGGATCGAGGGCCCTGCCTTTCGAGCTTACAATCTAGGAGGGAGGGATGGTGGTACAGGAGGCGATAGCCTGATGGGGATCGGGGTGGGTAGGAAGAGTGGAGGAGGAGTTGGCAAGTTAGCATGGGGTGGGGGCTCTGAGGAAGAGGCAAGTCCTTGAAACACGCTCAGCCTTTTTTTGGATGTCTAAACTCCCTATTGCGGACTGATACTCCAGCGCGGTGTTTGATCCACGCTGTTCTTTATGATGTGCCTTGACTATATATGTCGTTTGTGAGTACAACACCTACTTTATTATTTCTTATAAACATTTTTTTATGTAATGCACTAGGCCTGTGCGCCCTCTTTTGTTCTTTCCCCATTCCCGAAGAGATGGGTTTTCAGTGTGCACCTAAAGGAGAGGAGAGTAGGTGATAAGATCTAATGGGTTGGGGCAGGGAGTTCCAGAGGATGGTGACACCCTGGAGAAGTCCTGGAGGCGGGGCAATGGGAGGAGGAGACCAGGGAACTAGAGAGGAGGAACTTGTGAAATTGTTTGATACAGTAATGTTATAACTATGTGATTTTAGTGAATGTCACTTTTATTTACAACTGTCAAATTTCCGCCGTTCCGTCCCCTGTACGTCCCGATGTCGCAGGGAACAAAACCCGGAAGACAGATGCCTTTAAAAAAAAAAAAAAAAAAAAAGCATCCGCTGGAGGACATTACAGGGGACACTGCAGGGGGGACATCGTCGCGGAGCGAAAGGACAAGGTAAGTGAAGAAGAGATCCCGGAGATGCAAACGCTGCAGTGTAGTTCCCGAGTGTAAAAAATGTGTGAAATACTGTGTGAGCTAAAATGTGGTGTTCCCTTCTGTGCACAAATCCTATAAGAATGTACATATATAACTAATCAATAATCGCTATAATACTGGTGCACGCAACAACTATAACACACATACTCATATACTGTGCAAAAAATGTAAACTATAAATATAATATGTGTTTTTTGCGCTCCACAATGTGTATCAAAATAATATAAAATAATATAAAAACAACAATCAGCAATATCGACTCAAATGTGCAAAGTAAAAGTGCTTCAAACAGTGCAAAACTGTGTAAAAAATACATTAAGATGCAAAAACAGCCCACTCTGTGCTTTCAATGTCGTAGGTGCCAATATATGTGCCGTGCATCACTCTTGGTGTAAAGGAATAGGTGTCCGCGTCACCTCCTCTATTAGCCACACTGAAAATATATGGCTAATAACCAGGGGCGGACTGACCATTTGGAAAACTCTGGCACTGCCCGAGGGCCCGGGTCAGTAGGGGGGGGGGGGCCCCATGAGATGCCCCTGGTACCTTTTTTCATAGGCTAGTTTTTGAGTTTGGGCAAGGACACAGGGCCCCATGATCCCCTATTGCCCGGGGGCCCCATGAGTTGTTGTCAGTCCACCCCTGCTAATAACACTTTTTGTCCTATTAGGACAGAACGGTATTTTCCATGCTGAAGGGACATTTTCAAATAAAGTTGAACAAGCTGTACTGCCACTTTTCTTCTCCCACTGGTGGTCTCCCTCACTCCTTTCCAGCCCCACTACTCTAAGTGGGTGGATAAGAATGGGATTCCCCGCGTCCTATATGGGTCTTGTGTGCTGCCTTCTTCTCTCGAAGTATTGAGATGTCAAGCAAGAGGAAAGAAAAATAGTGCCTTATCCTTTATAAAACATGGTGCTTTATTAAGTAAAATGCGCACTCTCACATATATATAAGAAACATAATAATCAATAAAAATGCAAGCGCTACAATGTACAGATTAAAAATACGTAAAAAGTAAATAAAAGTCTTGAAAGTAATAATAATATAGAAGGTGCAATGTGATAATTGTGGTTCATTAGATAGCTGTTGGGCTATCGTGACTTCCGTGGCTTGTGAGGAATGAGTTATACCATGCACTAACCAGATAGCACAACATTTTGTGCGTTGGAGTAAATAAGACCTACTCCAAGGTGCTGCTCTGGAAGTGGGAACTCTGCAAACAGGTGATGTCATCACGTGGAGTTGAGTCGCCAGATGTCATCAGACCAACGCAGATTTCCTCATTCCAGTATAGTGTATAATCATCATATTAGATGCATCTTGTAGTACGGATTTCAGCCATTATACACTTAAGTGTACTTTTATTTATTTACGTCTCCAGGACTTCTCCACGGTGTCACCCTCCTCTGGAACTCCCTGCCCCAACCCATCAGATTATCACCTACTCTCCTCTCCTTAGGCGCACCCTGAAAACCCACCTCTTCAGGAAGCCTACCACAAACCCCCCCTGCTAACTTGCCAACCTCCTCCACTCTTCCTACCACCACCATCCCCCACAGCTATCTCCTCCTGTGCCACCATACCCTCCCTCATAGATTGTAAGCTCGAAAGAGCAGGGCCCTCGATATGAAACTGACCATTTGGAAACTCGAGCACTGCCTGAGGGTCCGGGGTCAATAGGGTTCCCCTGAGATGCCCCTGGTACATTTTTCATAGGCTTTTTTTGAGTTTGGGCAAGGACACAGGGGCCCCATGATCCCCTATTGCCCGGGGGGCCCCATGAGTTGTCAGTCCGCCCCTGGATGGGACAAATGAGCGCCCACCCCTGCAGCTTACCAGGCCACG